TTCATTAAATCTACCTAAAATTATGTTTTTCACACAACAGCTCATACTTATTAAATTACAAAAATCTTATTAATTGACTATTACAATATTGGTATATAAAAAATATTGGAGACATGTTCCGGCCTTCGGTCCGATTGTTCTTGGAGCCGAAAAAAAAAATTTTGATATCATTTCAAGAGAAATTTATGTATTGTTTTTTTTCTGCCTTTGCTTTGCCCGGGTGGTTACGAGGTGGTTAAGCAATGGCAGGAAAAAAACGATAAATAAATTTCTCTTGAAATAATATAAAATATTTTTTTCTCGACTCCAAGACAAATCGGACCGAAGGCAGGGATGTGTGTCCAATATTTTCTGATTGAAGTTGATGATTTATAGCACATATCTAATTTAATAATATTAAACTTGAACTTAAAATATGTTCGTATATTATGTTCATACTGTGTATGGAACATTTAAATATTGACTCTAAAATTCACGCTAGATAATAAGACTATAAACACATCAATTGGCGAGAAGTTGCATTCTAGTTGAGCTAAGGCCAATGATCAGACAGTGTGCCTTAGCGCCTAGGAGCTTCTGATCTCCTGATACTTCACCATTGAACCTTTGACGCTTATGTGACGCTTCTTCAGAGTGTGTTTATATATTATTTCTTCAATGTTTTATTTGTTTACTTTTTTATACTGGAGTAATTAAATTTTATCACAGGTCAGTATTTTGAGCTCAATTTTTTTCAAGACACTCAGGAGATCTCAACCAATAATTTAAGCCATAAAATTTAAAAATAGATCCAGCCATTTACTCCCACTCTCTATTTCCCATCAAAACACCTTTACTTCTCCAACTAAACCAACTACTTCCTGTCCTACAGTATCCTTTAGTAATACTCCACTTATCTCTGTTCAACAAAGCCGATACCTAGGACTCCACCTGGAAGAACATCTAACTTTGAATCCTCACGGATTCTTGTCGATTCCCAAGACTTGTTAAATTGTTAAAGATAAAATATATAATGATCAAAGCACTTACAAAAAAAATGTATAAATCATTAATACATTCCATTCTCTGTGCAGAGTGTTGCAATCTACAAATGTCGCAAGATTTAACGATTGAAATCATAAACATTTTATAGTTTTTGATTAATTTACTTTTGTTAATTTTATATTTTCTGTACATATGGTATGAATGTATTCATAAATCACTATAATTATTGTCCACTTGACAGAATGTCAAATTTCTAATTAAATAAATAAAAAAATAAGAAAAACATTTTAAAAAAGGCCTTGGATCCTGCATACAAATTTTTTGGGGAATATAAGCAAATAATTAACTTGAATGTGTTAGATTGGAATTTATAATTTCAATTTTGAAGAAGTGTCTTTTTAATAAGAGAGCGTACAAATATAAAATTATATTCTTGTAAGACTGCAGACTAGGAATACTTTGAAATATATACCATAAATTTAAAAAAATACAGAAACTGGTGCAGAACATTGAATAATTAGAAAGAAGTAGTCAGAAAATCATCAGTAATTCAATTAATAATGATTAATACATTTGCAATCATATTAAAAAATAAATAAGTGTACACATTTGAATGTATACCCTTTAAATTTAACTCGAATAAATTTTTTTTTTCACATGAAGTAAACATAGTAAACAATGAGCATCTGTTTGGTGATTTTTTTTTTTTTTTAACTGTCTAATACGTTATATAAGCTTAATTTTATAATGATATGCTGCTCATATTTGGAAAAAGCCTTGCTGTTCTAGGAATTAATCACCTAGGTACATTTATTATTAGTAAAATAATCATTCCACTATGTTGATGATTTCAGGTTTTAAGACAACCTCACAATTTTCCAAGACTAGTACAAAAGAAGTATATTAGTCAAAATCCAAATTTTATCAATTTTCACTGAGAGAAATAAAAATGTAAATTTTTAAAGCTCTTCCTTTCCCTACCTTTGATCCACCAATGACTGATGGTGTTCCTACTCCCTTCGATATGGAGATGATACTTTGAAATTGAATTGAATCAACTAGTTAGGGGCAGAATGTGGGAAGGACATGTGCCAGATGTACACCAGCTATCAGGTTCAGTTGACTGTATATGAATGGGAAGAGATGGTTTCTAGTCAAAAAAATGAATCCGAGGAATCTGTTAAATTGTTAAAGATAAAATATATATTGATCATATCATTTACAAAAAAAATGTATAAATCATTAATACCTTCCACTCACAGTGCAGAGTGATGCAATCTACAAATGTCGCAAGATTTAAAGATAGAATTTTTAACATTTTACAAAAAGTTGCCTGGATCCTGAAAATATAAGCAAATAATTAACTTGAATGGGTTAGATGTGTACAAAAAAAACACTTACAAAAAAAATGTATAAATCATTAATACATTCCATTCTCTGTGCAGAGTGTTGCAATCTACAAATGTCGCAAGATTTAACGATTGAAATCATAAACATTTTATAGTTTTTGATTAATTTACTTTTGTTAATTTTATATTTTCTGTACATATGGTATGAATGTATTCATAAATCACTATAATTATTGTCTACTTGACAGAATGTCAAATTTCTAATTAAATAAATAAAAAAATAAGAAAAACATTTTAAAAAAGGCCTTGGATCCTGCATACAAATTTTTTGGGGAATATAAGCAAATAATTAACTTGAATGTGTTAAATTGCAATTTATAATTTCAATTTTGAAGAAGTGTCTGTTTAATAAGAGAGGGTAAAAATGTAAAACTATATTCTTCAAAGACTGCAAACTAGGAATACTATGAAATATGTACCTTAAATTAAAAAAAACAATAAAAAAAAAAACAGAAACTGCTGAAGTTTGTGAGCAAATGTTTTATATATATTCAATCATATTAAAAAAATAAATAAGTGTAAACTTTTGAATGTATACCCTTCAAATTTAACTGAAATAATCATTTTTTTTCACTAGAGGTATACATAATAAATATTGAGCAACAGATAATATCTGTTTGGTGATTTTTTTTTTTATTTTAACTGTACAGTATGTTTTATAAGCTTATTTTTTTAATGATATGCTGCTCATATTTGGAAAAAGCCTTGCTGTACTAGGAATTAATCAACTAGGTACATTTATGTTTAGTAAAAATCATCTTTCCACTATGTTCAGGATTTTAGGTTTTATGACAACCTCACATTGTTCCAAGACTAGCAAATGTTTAATATATATTCATTCATATTAAAAAAATAAATAAGTGTACACTTTTGAATGTATACCCTTGAAATTTAACTGGAATAAACATTTCTGTTTTTTCACTCGAGGTTATAATAATAATAAGGCTTAGCGAACCCGAAGGTTCGATGCCGACACCACCAATCGCTTGTTACACACCTCCCTCCACCGTTCGCCGTCCAAACCCAGTCCCTTCAGATCGGCTTTAATGCAATCTTCCCACCTTCGCTTCGGTCTACCCCTCGGACGCTTACCATTCGGCACAGCAAATATTAACGTTTTAGGAATTCTCTCGGGAACAACTTTACAAGCCCATTTGATTCGCCGCGATGAAATGACCTCAATTATATTACCCGGATACAGCTCACGCAATTCGGCGTTGTGTAACCGTCTGAACTCTCCGGTTAACTCATCCTTCTTCGGTCCGAATATTCTACGCAATACTTTATTTTCAAAAACCTTAAGACGCTGCTCATCCCTTAATGTAAGCGGCCAAGTTTCGCATCCATAAAGAACTGTAGGCAAGATAATTGTTTTATAGATTCTAATTTTTAAGTTCCGGGACAAGAGGCGCGAACTAAGTAGTTTTGTCACAGAATAATAACAAGCATTTCCCGCCTTCAGTCTAACCTTAATCTCTTCTTCAATTTCGTTTTTTCTAGTTATCATAGAACCTAGATACCTAAATTTATCTACCTGTTCAAACATATTACCATCTATATCGATATGACCAGTAGTATCGCCATTTTTGCAGCTAACCATATATTTTGTTTTATTCACGTTTATTTCGAGTCCTAGTTCTTTCCCGGCTTTCATTAACGTTGTCGTATTTAGTTTTATAGTTTCAAAGTCTTCGTTTAACAGTACCAGATCATCAGCATAGCCCAGCACGGATGTTGTCCCGCCCAGATCCAACCCTTTCTCTGTTCGCATTACCTCCCTAATGGCATGTTCTAATGCCAAATTGAACAGGACAGACGAAAGGGAATCCCCTTTTTTTAAGCCCGAACGAACCTCAAATTTTTGGACAAATTATTACCGATTCTAACTTTATTGAGTGTCTCCGTCAAGCACATCCTGACTAGATTTACTAGTTTTTTTGGAATCCCCTGCTCGGTTAGAATATTATACAGTTTCTGGCGGTCAATAGAATCGTAAGCCTTTTTAAAATCTATATACAGCTGGTGAACAATACCGTTATACTCCAATTTTTTCTCTAATATTTGCCGTAAAGAAAATATTTGATCAATAGTCGAACGATTCCGTCTAAATCCGCATTGGTAGTCTCCGATAATTTCCTCGGCGTATTCCGTGATTCGACTGGTTAAGATTAAAGTGAATATTTTATAACATACCGGAAGGAGTGAAATTCCTCGATAGTTATTACAATCCGTCCTCGGCCCCTTTTTGTGAATCGGAATAAGAATAGATTCTTTCCATTCTTCAGGTAATTTCTCGTTCACCCAGATCTTTTTAACCAACCGATGTATTTTAGAAACTCCAGCTTCCCGCATGCCTTAATTAGTTCAGTAGGAATATTATCGATTCCCGCTGCTTTATATGATTTTAATTTTCCGATAGCTACTTCAACTTCCTCTTTACTTGGTCCTTCTATTAACGGTTCAGCACTCTGGTACTCAGAAGGAGGACACAGATCATAATTTCCCGTATTTAAAATATTGTCAAAGTGGTCCTTAAACTTATTCAATATGTCAACCGGATCGGTCAGAATATTGTTATTATCATCCCTAATTCTAGACGTTACGGGCCCTATATATTTACGTGATCTGTTTATACCTTTGTACATGTCTCTTACGTTATTTTCGATTCTATTAGTTTCTATTTCAATTATTTTATTTTTAAGATACTCCCTTTTTTTATTTTTGAGCAATTTTGTCGTTTCGTTCTTTGAGATTCGGAAGTATTCCAGATTGTCTTCGCTAGGATTATTTAGAGCTTTTAATTTAGCGGCTTTTCTTTTTTCGCACATGTTTAAGCAATCTTCATCAAACCACGGTTTGTTATTCTTATTTTCCTTTTTTCCTAGGCACGAGTTACCGACCGCTTTAATATTATCCCTGATCTCTACCCATAACTTGTCAATATCCTCGTGGTCCTCGTCAGGAAGCTCTAAAGCTTCAAACCTATTCTTAACATCTCGCTCGAATTGGTTTCTAATTGATGGATTTTTTAATTTTTCCAAATTAAAATTCTCAAAATCGAAACGGTTTTCTTTTCTCTTTTTTATATTAAGTTTTTGTCGAAGTTTCGCGATTACTAATTCATGATCCGACCCACATTCTGCTCCGCGATAAGACCGTACATTGATTATACTGCTTTGCCAGATGTGTTGTATCAAGACATGATCGATTTGATTTCGGGTTTGCGAATCCGGTGATGTCCAAGTATATTTATGAATATCCTTATGTTTAAACGTCGTACTTTTAATTATCAGGTTTTTCGAGATGGCAAAGTTTATCAGACGGATCCCATTATCATTACTATATTCGTGCAAACTTTCTTTACCAATCGTCGGAATATAAACTTCTTCCCTTCCTACCTTTGCGTTCGCGTCACCTACAATTATTTTTATGTAGTTTCGCGGTAGTTTATCATAAACCCATTCGAGTTTATCGTAAAATTCACTTTTGACTTCATCGTCACTGTCTTCGGTCGGACAATGTATGTCTATTAATGCGATTTTAAACCAACGTCCCTGAAATATAGCTACCGAAATTCTATCACTAAAGAATTGTACGTCCCTCAAAGCGGATAGTAATCTACTCCTAATTAGAAACCCGGTACCTAAACAATGATTCCCGCTTCCTCCGTACCAAATAGTGTACTTTCCTTCCCTCATCGAGCCCTCCCCTGTCTAGCGAACCTCTTGCAGAGCCACGACATCCAAATTGTACCCATTTACCTCATTCGCGACCGATCTTAGCCCCCCTGCTGTGTTTAAACTCCTTACGTTCCACGTACCAATATTTAAATCCCTATATTTCAACTTGCGCCATGAATCCCCTAAAGCAGTCCCCACCCGGAGACCCGAACGGGGGACTAGTTTACCTCCGGATAATGAGCGTTTTACCTTAGGAAGATCCATGACTTTTTGTGGTGTTTGGTGAACTAAAGATATGTGAGTAGGGCGTTCAATCCTACGTCACACCCTCCAGCAAGTCTGGTGGGCCCCTACCTCCAGCAAGTCTGGAGGTCCCCTCCCTCCAGCAAGTCTGGAGGGCCCCTCTCATTGTTGGTCAGCGAGTCCATCGGACTTAGTCGGGAGGAACTTCCAAGGAATTTCCACCGACCATCCTTACATCCGCCACCCGTGGGACGCTCCCATACGCGGTAATGAGCCCGCGCGAGGCACTCGAGGTAAACATAGCAAACAATGAGCAACAGATAATATCTGTTTGGTGAATTTTTTTTTTTTAACGGTCCAATATGTTTTATAAGCTTATTTTTTTAATGATATGCTGCTCATATTTGGTAAAAGCCTTGCTGTACTAAGAATTAATCAATTAGGTACATTTATTTTTAGTAAAAACCATCTTTCCACTATGTTGAGGATTTTAGGTTTTATGACATCCTCACATTGTTCCAAGACTAGCACAAAAGAAAAAAGTTAGTCAAATACCAAATATTATCAATTTGTACTGAGGGAAATAAAAATGTAAATTTTTAAAGCTCTTCCTTTCCCTACCTTTGATCCACCAATGACTGATGGTGTTCCTACTCCCTTCGATATGGAGGTGATACTTTGAAATTGAATTGAATCAACTAGTTAGGGGGAGAATGTGGGAAGCACATGTGCCAGATGTACACCAGCTATCAGGTTCAGTTGACTGTATGTGAATGGGATCAGATGGGTTCTAGTCAAAAAAATTAATCGGACGAATCTGTTAAATTGTTAAAGCAAAAATATATATTGATCATATCATAAACATTTTATAGTTTTTGATTATTTTACTTTTGTTAATTTTATATTATTTGTACATATGGTATGAATGTGTTCATAAATCACTATAATTATTGTCCACTTGACAGAATGTCAAATTTCTAAATAAATAAATAAAAAAATAAGAAAAACATTTTAAAAAGGTCCTTGGATCCTGCAAACAAATTTTTTTTCGAATATAAGCAAATAATTAACTTGAATGTGTTAGATTGAAATTTATAATTTCAATTTTGAAGAAGTGTCTTTTTAAAAAGAGGGCGTACAAATATAAAATTATATCCTTGTAAGACAGCAGACTAGGAATACTTTGAAATATATACCATAAATTTAAAAAAATACAGAAACTGGTGCAGATTGTGTGCAGAAACATTGAATAATTAGAAAGAAGTAGTCAGACAATCATCAGCAATTCAATTAATAATGATTAATACATTTGCAATCATATTAAAAAATAAATAAGTGTACACATTTGAATGTATACCCTTTAAATTTAACTCGAATAAACTTTTTTTTTTCACATGAAGTAAACATAGTAAACAATGAGCATCTGTTTGGTGATTTTTTTTTTTTTTTTAACTGTCTAATACGTTATATAAGGTTAATTTTATAATGATATGCTGCTCATATTTGGAAAAAGCCTTGCTGTTCTAGGAATTAATCACCTAGGTACATTTATTATTAGTAAAATAATCATTCCACTATGTTGATGATTTCAGGTTTTAAGACAACCTCACAATTTTCCAAGACTAGTACAAAAGAAGTATATTAGTCAAAATCCAAATTTTATCAATTTTCACTGAGAGAAATAAAAATGTAAATTTTTAAAGCTCTTCCTTTCCCTACCTTTGATCCACCAATGACTGATGGTGTTCCTACTCCCTTCGATATGGAGATGATACTTTGAAATTGAATTGAATCAACTAGTTAGGGGCAGAATGTGGGAAGGACATGTGCCAGATGTACACCAGCTATCAGGTTCAGTTGACTGTATGTGAATGGGAAGAGATGGTTTCTAGTCAAAAAAATGAATCCGAGGAATCTGTTAAATTGTTAAAGATAAAATATATATTGATCATATCATTTACAAAAAAAATGTATAAATCATTAATACCTTCCACTCACAGTGCAGAGTGATGCAATCTACAAATGTCGCAAGATTTAAAGATAGAATTTTTAACATTTTACAAACAGTTGCCTGGATCCTGAAAACAAATTTTTTGGGGAATATAAGCAAATAATTAACTTCAATGTGTTAGATTGCAATTTATAATTTCAATTTTAAAGAAGTGTGTTTTAAATAAGACAGGGTACAAATAAAAAATTATATTCTTGCAAGACTGCAAACTAGGAATACTATGAAATATGTACCGTAATTTAAAAAAAATTTAAAAAAACAGAAACTGGTGAAGTTTGTGAGCAAATGTTTAATATATATTCAATCGTATTAAAGAAATAAATAAGTGTACACATTTGAATGTATACCCTTCAAATTTAACTGGAATAAAAATTTTTTTTTCACTATAGGTAAACATAATAAATATTGAGCAACTGATAATATCTTTTTGGTGATTTTTTTTGTATTTTAACTGTGCAGTATATTTTATAAGCTTATTTTTATAATGATATGCTGCTCATATTTGGAAAAAAGCCTTGCTGTACTAGGAATTAATCAACTAGGTACATTTATTTTTAGTAAAAACCATCTTTCCACTATGTTGGGGATTTTAGATTTTATGACAACCTCACATTGTTCCAAGACTAGCACAAAAGAAAAAAGTTAGTCAAATACCAAATATTATCAATTTACACAGAGGGAAATAAAAATTCCATAATTATGAGGTAATATGAAAATTACTCCATGTCTTGAAGAACTCTTTTTTTTCAAACACAGGGCAGCCATCTGCTTAACATGGGCACAGGCCAAAAAAATTCTCGGTCCTCTTCCACTAAATATTTCATGTTTTCTTTTTTTTTATAATTGCACTAATGTATGGATTATTGTATTATGGAAGTGAAACGTAGTACTACATTATAACAAGCATCAACTGTTTAACATAAAATACAACTAATTTTGGAGACTGTGGTCAGAGATGAAAATACATTCATATCATGTTCCTGTAATAAGCGGATTTTTTAAATCTTTCTTAGGCCTCATTATTTATTCAGTTAAACAATTTAGTTAAATAAATCAGTAAAGAGCTTCATGCCCAACAAAGTAACTTTCTTTTACAAGTTAATTATTCTCATAGAAAAAAAGAAAACAAATAAAAAATTGAAGAAATAATAAATAAACACACTCTGAAGAAGCGTCACATAAGCGTCAAAGGTTCAAAAGTATAGTATCAGAAGATCAGAAGCTGCTAGGCGCTAAGGCTCGCTGTCTGAGCTATGATCCTAGCTCAACTTGAATTCCACTTCTCGCCAATTTAGATAGATAGATAGAAAGTAAACTTTATTCTGGGACGAGGTCCCTTATGAATAATAGTCATGAACAAAAAAATAAAAACTATATCTGTCCATAGATTACATTAATCAATATTAAAGAAAATATACAGTATCTCAGTAAAAGTATATTAAAACAAATAAAAATAACACCATTTTGAAAATACAAAAAAAACAAAAACATTATTTAAATAAAAAACTAAACAAAATAATGTATGCATGGGCTGATTTTTAAAATTAAAACTCAATCAATTTTAACAACCATTCACCTCAGTCAAAATCTGTTTCGCAATATTTATTTCATTGTATGACGTCATTGTGGGATGTGAGAAGGAATTGGTAGAGATGATATTTAAATGAGGACAAGGAAGAGGCATGGCGGATATCAGATGGCAAGGAATTCCAGAAGGTAGTGGATCGGGAAATAAAGGAATATTCAAATGTCTTAGTTCTATGGGAAGGGATATAAAGGTCGGAAACACTGGATCTTGTTTTCTGGGAGTGGACAACGGGTTTGAACTGTAGGAGACTGTAGATGTAGGAAGGGTGTCGGGTGTTGATCGTTTGGAATAGGAAAGATCCAAGGAAATATTGTCTGCGTAAAGAAGGGAAGAGCCACTTTAACTCATCGTAAAGGTGGGACACATGAGACCGCCTCGATGTACCGAAGACAAATCTTAAGCAGGTATGCATGAGTCGCTTCAATCTATCCTCAAGTATCATCGGGATGCCTCCGTTCACCACACAGCCGTAGTCAAAGTGGGGGAAAATAAGAGAGGATATAAGGAGCTTGCTGATGGATTGTGGGAGTAGGTGGCGGGAGCGATGAAATAGCTGAAGGGTACCTATTGACTTACGAGAGATGTGGGCGATATGGGGTTTCCAGGAGAGGTTTTCATCTATGGTTATTCCTAAGTTTTTAACAGAGGAGCTGAATGTGACAGGATGGTCGTTGATGACTAAAGGAGGAAGGAAGGAGATGGATTTAAGAATAGAACTGGAACCTATAATAATGGCCTGAGTTTTCATCGCGTTTAGCTTTAAATTATTCAGACTTGCCCAGGCACTGATATATGTGTTTATAGTGTTATTATCTAGCGTGACTTTTAGAGTTAATATATACATGTTTCATACATAGTATGATCTTAATATAAGCACATATTTTATGTTTAAGTTTAATATTAATCAAATAAATATATGCTATAAATCATCAACTTTGTCGATGATTGCGGATGATTTTCTAACTATTTTTTACTTATTTTTCATTGTTTTGGTACACAAACTGCGCCAGTTTCGTTTTTTTTCTATTTACAGTATATATTTCATAGTATTTCTAGTGTGGAGTCTCACAATAATACAATTTTATATTTATACGCTCTTTTATTAAAAAGACACTTCTTCAAAATTGAAATCTAACACATTAAAGCTAATTATTTCTTTATATTCTCCTGTAAATTTATTTTCATGATCCAGGCAACTTTTTAAAAAATTTATATGTATTCTATCTTTAAATCTTGCGACATTTGTACATTGCAACACTCTGCACAGTGAATGGAATGTATTAATGGTTTATACCTTTTTTTGTAAGTGCTATGGACATTAGATATTTTATCTTTAACAATTTAACAAGTCTTGGGAAACGACAAGAAGCCATGAGGATTCAAAGTTAGATGTTCGTCCTGGTGGAGTCCTAGGTATCAGCTTTGTTGAACAGAGATAAGTGGAGTATTATTAAAGGATACTGTAGGACAGGGTCCTTGGCTGAGGAGGAAGAGTAATGGTGTTTTAGGGGACTGGGAGCAAATGTCCGTATCGATTTTTATGTTTCATGGATTAAGTTATTAGGTGAGATCTCCAGAGTGTTTTGTAATAATTTGAGCTAAAAATAGTGACCTGTGACACAATTTAATGGGGGTGGTGTGATCTCGTCCTCGTCGTGGCCCTGGATAACCAACCAAACGATCACATAGTCGCCAGACTCCCAGTGTCACCAATAGCGACTTATGGCGCGGCCAGCACAAAGCCTGGCCAACGCAAACGGCCATAAGAACTTTATCTTAAAGACTCTTCTAGAATGGAAGCATTTTACTAGAATAATCAGCTGCTACTGATTGTCTTGAATACTTCAGGTATCCAGATTTTCAAATTTACTCACTGTCAAGAGCTAGGCAGATAGCATCAGGAATACGTGTTGGTGTAAGGTCTTCCTTCACGGTCAAGTTTCAAGTTAAAAAGGAAATGGATGTAAATGATGAATTGGAAGGAGTGGAAATCAATCTGTGGTCAAACAATTTCCACCACCAAATATTTATCATCTATAACCCCCCTAATAATAAACCGAATTTGGGTTGGCTGGAGGATTCTTTGACGGACAAATCCCTTGTGTATGGAGACTTCAACGCGCGCTCCAGGCGCTGGGGTTACTCAAAATCAAATTCAGCGGGGAAAACTCTGGAAGAATTTATCGATACAAATATGATTGAATTTGTGGAAAACGAAAATTCAAAGCCCACTTTTATGGACTACAAAGGTAATAGTTCCCACCCAGACCTATTATTGGTGCACCCACGAATAGCTCAGCTGATCTCCCACACAGTTGTCTCTCCACTTGGAGCATTTGGTCACAGGATAATGCTTGCCTATCTTAATTGCAACTTAAAGTCTTATAATGATTTAGTGCCTCGAATGCTCCGATGGAATTTGAAAAAAGCCAATTGGAATAAATTCTCTCAGCTCACTCACATAGCCATTACAGATAAAACCATTACGGAAAATGTAGATATAAGCTGTGCCCGACTTCAAGCGGCAATTCTCGAGTGTGCAAAGCAAGCAGTCCATTCCTCGGGGATTTATGAAAAGATACTCCCCATTCTGGATCCTATGTCTGAATTCCTCTGAAGTCCAACTCTTTGAAGACGACTTCAGTAAGGAAGAGCTTGAACTTGCACTGGCACAAACAAAGAATGGAAAAAGCGGTGGCCCTGATGACATATTACCAGAGTTTCTTATTCACCTGGATGCAAAAGCCAAGCTCATTATGCTAGATTTTCTCAATGCTGTGTGGAGGTCGAAATATCCTAGTGCTTGGAGGAAGGCTGAGGTTGTCCCAATTCTCAAGAAAGGTAAATGTTCTTCTTGCCCATCTAACTAACGACCTATATCGCTCACAAGTGTTTTTTCTAAGCTCTACGAGAGAATGGTCCTAGCCCGGTTGCAGATATATCTTGACAGAGAAAACAGGATGTCATCGAAGCAAGCAGGTTTCCGGAAGCACCGATGTACAACTGAGCAGGTGGCTCGTTTTAGTGAGGATGTAAAAGACGGATTCCAACGCAAACAACATACTCTTGCAGTTTAT